ATCAACCGAAAAATATTAGTTGTTCATAATTTATCTACAATATAAGGCAAAGTGAATATAAGCCAGCCAGTGTTTTCATTACCTCATCATCCTCCATTTCGAACTCCTCATCAGCATCCTACATTAAAGATTAAGCATCACTCAACATCACTCTGAGTTAGCCCTAACATAAGAGAGGAAAATAGTTAATGTGCAAAAAGCTTACATTGTTAAAATAAGTGAGTGGATTTGGCCATAAATCATCCTTAATGATTTCAGCAACCTGCTACAGAGAGTAAGAATGAAATACATAAAAGAAGTGTCCATATTAAGAAAGCATAAAAAGCCATTAGGTAATCTGCAGGGCACTGTTTACCTCATCATGAATCTCTTCAATGTCACCATTATGCTGGGAATCGTTAAACCAAGAAAAGAAACTGCATTTCACAGTTTAATTTCAAGTTAGCAAAGTTACATCACAGCGGCTAATTGACAGACCAACAATTTTCAATGTTTATTGATTGTCCCCCAAAAAGAATACATTGAGATAACGTGTCATTGGCTATATAACAAACAGTACTCTCTGACAAGAGTTCGAGCATAACCATTTTCAATGTTTAGTTATTCGAATAAACAGTACTCTCTCTCTCTCGAGCATAACCATTGTCAATGTTTTAGTTATTCGAATAAACAGTACTCTCTCTCTCTCTCTCTCTCTACAACAACTAAAACTAGCATATAGCAAGCAGAAGCCATAGACAGCTAGGTGTGTTCAACGTTACAGAGAAATGTAGATTTAACTAAAACGAAAAGAAAAAAAATGAAAAAAAGAAAAGAAAATCGAAAAAAGAAAAGAAAAAAGAAGAAGATAGGAACACAAGGAGAGAATGCACCAACCTCTCCTCAAAATGAGACCGCTTGTTTCCTTTCTTCTCTTCAGCAGTACCATTTGGAATACCCTTCAGATGCGAGACAAGCACAATTCAAAACCTAGAAAACACACAGGCAATGAAGTAATTAAACATTACGTTAAACTTACCATGCCTTCTTTCCACTTTATTGATGTTGCTGTGATTTTGGTAGTCCCCTCCTCGAGGAAGGCGAAGGTCTTTGTGAGCTTAGTATCCTCAAAGTAGGGATTGGGCTTGAAGTGCTGAACGAGAAACAAAAGATCACCTCAACAACTTAAAAGTATTAAAGGACGACAGACATCAGCATTTTCCACATTACAGAATAATTCAAGAAAAAAAAGGCAGAGAAGATAATTAAAACTCACAAATGTAATGGAGTAACCCGATTTCACATCTTTGCAATCCTCCACTTCAAGGTTACTTAAATACTTGAAGATCTAAAACAAGAAAAGTAAGATTACAGGTAAGATAGTAAAGAAAAGAAACATACATACTAATTATTCATACATTTTTTTATATTGTAACAGAAAATGAAGAGAGAAAGGAAAAACCTTCTGGTCTTCATCAGTCAAAAGCTCACTGAGGGCAGGATGACTCATGAACTGCAAGAACAAAGAAATGTCGATCGCAGGAAATTAGACATTTTTTTGTAGCAGAAGCAGAAATATTGTCCATAGCATGTATTATTCTAACAGGAACCGAACATGAATATCACTTACAGCAGTCAGCCAGAAATCCGGAATGGATTTGATTACATTATTTCGCTTATCATATACAGGCCTGCGAACCTCATTGTACTTCTGTTCGACTTCCAAGACCTTTTCACTAGCCTCTTCATTAATCTGAAAGCAGAAAAAACAGAATCAACTTACCACACCAGCAAAAGATGTGGGTGTTAATTATAAATGGAATAATCCTACGGCACATTTAACATTCTCACAAAGTCAACTAGTTCTCTTCATTCCTGGAACTCCATGTCATTTATCACAGAGAAAAATCAAGAAAAAGAATATATCCATGACCATTTATGAAGGACAAACGCAGAGTTTTCCTTTGCTAATAGGAATGGTAGAAGCTAGCATACGCAAGAAAACTGCATAGAGCCCAACATGGTCCAGCAATTGAAAGTAAGTCACCAACATGCAACTGTAATACCATAACATTTACATACCATTAGATGTTGCATTGAGTTTGTCTATCGGAACTCCACTGTCCCATTAACTCTCAATTTCTCAGAAGTGGCATGCTTAAGTACTATGTTATTAACCCCAATACCCCAAATGTCTGAAAACATTTGTCACAAATTAGAGGAAAGTACAAAACAGTAAAAGGACAAGCATGTTTTATTCTCTCATCTTCAGAAATCACCCACGCTTTCTAAATTATACAATGGTTCAGCAACTCTACTCAAACCCAATCTCATAATATAAGGTAAACAAACTTAAATTTCATTTTTTTTTCTTTGGGAACAACAATCACACACTATTCACACAAACCAGCTCTATTCACCAGTGTACCACAAGAAGAACACAGAAAATCAAAAAAGCTAAATTTGAATCAGAGCTTGTGCCATTATTCGAAATTAAAATGAATTATCAAAACAGGGTTAATTTTCCCTTAGCTTCTCTGATAAACAAATTAACCAGAAACTAAAGAAAAAAATCACCTTTTCAAGCTCGTCCTGAATTTCCTGAAGCTTTTCGATTGAGATAACAAGGTCCCCATCAATAAGTTCAGTCCCGTTCTTATCTTCCTCCACCTCTCCCACTTTCTGCTTTTTCCCTTTATCTGCTCCCATTTGTCTTGAAATCCGGAGGATCTACCGGGAAAAGAGAATAGAATTGTGGGATTCGGTCGTCTACTGAAGGCCTCTGCTAAAACCCTAGAAAAACCCTCGGGCGGAGACGGAGATGAATAGAGAGGAGCAGAATAAAGTCTCTAAAAGCGAATTAGGGTTAAGGATTTGGGAGACACTCACAATCGTTGGATCAAAATTGGAGCAAAATTGGGTAACGAGTAGAAATATGACTAAAGATTTGGGCCAAATTTCTTAATTAGGTATAAAATAAAAAGTATGGATAAGAACGTACAAATTGCAAAGTAGAAAAATAGTTCTATTCGAGTTTAAAGTTTTATGAGTCGAGATGAATTCGTGAATAATTCTATTCGAACAACAGCTGTGCGACTCATTTCAAAAATTCCAGTAACTTTTACTTTCTGGCACCTAATTATAATTAATTATAATTAATTTCTAATTAAATTAATTGAAGTGGCCCATTAAATGTGGACTCTTTTAAACAAACTACACATATCACTCTGAATATCGTGATACTGATATCTAACCAAAATTTGGTCCCTTGAGAAACATTCCCATGCCCGGGACCTCTGCTTCTTACCTAATTAATTATTTATATACTGCATGTTACCTATACAGCTTCTATCTCATCAAGAATTCCAATAGCTTGTTGTTCATTTTTTATTTCAACAATGTAAAAGATAATTAATAAGCCATGTTTAGTTTTGATTACAATAATGTAAAAAATAATTAATATGTTGGAAATTGGAAAACATGAATCGTCAATCATTAATAATATTTGTCAAGATCGAGATTGATCGATGTCCTAAAAACATGAGTCCTATATTTTGTGTGGATTTTGTCAAAGAGGAGTTTACATATTTATAATTAATTTTGTTTAAGAAGTTATTAGTCTATCACTTTCTCTTACAACATGCTATATTTTCGAAAATGGGAACTTGGATCAATATTTTTATCAATGTACGTGTTGGACCTTCAGCTTTTGAGACATTCATGCATTACAACATGAAAATAATAGAATTTCTCGGTTCTTATAATCAACGATTACCTTTGCTAAAAGAAGCAACATTTTTTATTGTATACAGATGCCTTACAAAAGCTAGTAACCCTAATATAACTATGGAATCTGCATGATGAAATTCACTATATAAACAAGAAAAATCTAACCAAATTCACAGTATTAAACAGAAAAGAATAAACCACATGAGGTCTCTTTTGGAACATAATATACTTTTCAAACACAAGTTTGTTCAAGTGAATCAAACCAAGAAATTCACTATAACTTCTGTTTCATGTCCAATGACAAGTTAGTCTTTGGACAAAATGAATCACAATTCACAATATGAACATTATCATCAATTGCAGAAAATGTGACAAAAACATGGATTTTTCCACTTATACTTTGAATTACACGATCGAAAAGCAGATTTCACATCCATTCTCATAACCATTCCAAACATTAACAAAAACCAAAGAAAAAAAACATATGTTATTTAACAACACATATATATCGACCGGCCAAACTATTTCATTTCCTGACTAATTAGCTTCGATTTCTCGACATGATGACAGCTCATCATCATCTTCGGGCCCACGACATTATTCTCCGCCGCAACTTCAACCGCCTTCTGATTCTTGCACCCCAAGTTTATCCCGACCGATAATCGACCCTTCTTCTTAACCTCATCGACTTTTTTCGAACTTTTATTCGCCAAACTCACGCTCTCGTCGTTAAAATCCGAGAGATTAACCGAAGAATAATTCGCTGCTGCGCTAGCCGTGACCACGCTCCACTGAATGCTGCTGGCCTCGCTAGGGGCATAATCGTAATTCATGCACTCGGCTTCGTCGTCCCCTGTGGGGCCCACTGCCAGCCCGCGTGGCGAAAAGGTAACCGAGCGGCCGGAAATGTTTTCGATCTCGAACAAGTCGGAGCTCGCCTCGCTGGCCATGTCGACTTCGACCGTTTTCTCGTGTATTATTGGAATCGCGTCCCACGTCAGCATCGAGAGCTTCCTCTCCATATCGGTAGCCACGTCATTTTTCGCCGCGTTTTTATTCGACCCGAAAACCTCGATCGACTTCCTTGGCTCGTCTTTCGTTAGACGGCTGTGGTGGCCGTTTTTTGTGACTTTCGGTACTCCGAGGTGGACGCGTACCGAGTTTTTGTCGAAACACGGGCCATTGCAGCCAAGCCCGGTGAAAATTCGCCTTCCGAAAAGTCTTTTCGGCTTTTCGGAGGAAGTAGTTTGTCCGAAATTTTTACCGGGTGGCATAAGGGCTGTTTGGCTGTTCCAGCTGCCGGCCTCGGAACACGAACTCGTCATGTTCGTGTTCGTGTTGATGACGTTTGGTCCGGAAACTTTGCTCTCGTGCATAGTCTTCGGCTCGGTTTTGTACTCCAAATTCATGTTGAAGTACTTGTCGGCTTTGAAAACGCCTATCTCGTCGTCTTTAGGTAGCGTTTGGCGAGAGAAGGTGAAATTTGTCGTTGATCGGAGGTTTTTCGTGTTTTTTATGTCGTTTTCTTGGGGTTTCGAAATCTTGATGCTAAAAGGTGGTGAATTTAGGGTATGGGATTCGGTTTTTTCGTTAGACGAAATCTTGTGATGTCCCGACGAGTTGTCCTTAGCCGTGTCGAGGTAGTAAGAGAAGGAGGCGACTCGGAGGCTCATGTCGTCGGTTTCCATAACGAGCTTTTTCCGGCGAAGATCGTTTGAAAAAATTGAGAGTGGATTAGTAGGAGGAGAGGTTCTTATATATTATACCTTT